GGCCAATCACTGGGACCTGAAAATAAACTTCACAAAAAGTAAACTAATGTGCTTTTCAAATAAAAAGATAAACCAACTACCAAAAATAAGAATAGATAACATAGAAATCAAATACACTCTAAGCCATAAAATTTTAGGCCTAACTTTAGACGCCCCCAAACTAAAATGGAAAAAACATTTAGAAAACCTAAAAGTAGATATCTTAAATAGAATAAACATAATGAAAAAACTAACTTCACTAAATTGGGGAGCAAATAGAGAAACTCTATTAAAGTTCTATAAAATATACATAAAACCAAAAATTGAATATGGATCAACAATTTATGGAGCAGCAAAGGAATCCGATTTAAAAAAACTTGAAACACTACAAAACCAAATTTTAAGACTGGCAACAGCTTGTTTTAGAACATCTCCAATAATAGCTCTTCAAGCATTAACAAACATCCCATCTTTATCACAAAGAATAAAAGAACTTGAATGCATTCAACTAACAAAAATTCTAAATAAACCAAATAAGACACCAGTAAAACAACAAATAACAAACTGCATAAATGAATATAATCCTCAAAGAGATAAAAGATCTCTAGTATACAGAGCTACGGAAACAAAAATAAACCTAAATATAAACATAAATCCAAATGAAATCCCAAACATATCCCCAATACCACCTTGGTATGATATTTCAGAAAATGTACAAATAGACTTTATGAATAATATAACAAAAAATACTCCTCAAATAATCATCCAAAAACAATTCCAGGAGTTAATAAATACGAATTATAAAGACTTTAACAGAATTTTCACTGATGGATCAAAAATAAAAGAACCAGATTCAACTTCAGCAGCAATCTACATCCAAAACAAAAATATAACAACTATTTGGAAATTGCCTCCTAAAATAGAAATCACACACGCAGAATTATTTGCCATAAAACAAGGACTAAAGTATGTAATAAATAATAAACTGACAAAAACTATAATACTAACAGACTCTCAATCATCCTTACAATTAATAAAAAACTCTAAACCACTAAATTATAAACAAATCACATACGAAATACAAAAACAGATACACTTTCTCTCAACAAGAAAACAAGAGATTAAGATACAGTGGATTCCATCACACAAAAACATTAAGGGAAATGAAATTGTTGACCTAGCGGCAAAGAAGGCCCATGAAATAAATAATCACATGTCTATACCACCAGATCCAAATTATATCATAAAAGAAATTAAGATAAAGAATAACAAACAATGGGAATCAAACTTAAAAAGAATCCTAAGTACAAAAAATTACCTCATCAAAGATAACACTGAAAAGCCATGGACTAGAGCAAAATATAGAAAACTAGACACATGCATCTCAAGACTCACAACCAAACACACAAGACTAAAACAACATCTTTACAGAATGAAAATGGAAAATGACCCCTTCTGCAGATGGTGCAAGAACCAAGAAGAGACCATAGAACACATGTTTTTATACTGCCCAAGATTCAACTCTCACAGAACAAAATTAAAAGATGCATTAAGACGAGTAAAAATTAATGATATTGACATTAATCTTCTGATTACAGGTGCAGATCAACCATCTACAATAAAGTACTACATATTAAGACACACAAAGATTTTCCTACAAACAACCAAATTATTTGATATAATTTAAGAAACAAGAAGCAAAAAAAAAAAAAAAAGAAGATCCAGGGGATATAGACAACAGTCGTCTAAAACCCTATAACAAGAAAGAAGAAGAAGAAGAGAAAGATAACGTTTATCTCAAAAATACCAATTTAAATGATTTTATCTCTCTCGCTCCGTCTGCATTCCTTCAGAGTTGATGTATTACCGCTGGTGACATCTCGGAGGGTTACTGATGGTGAGGTTATGGTCAAGAGAAGTGATATGTTAGGAAAGGGGCGTCGGATGTTAAAAGTTTGTTATATTTCGTGCTGTATTATGTTATTTTATTTTTATTATTGTAAAGTTTATGATTCAGTATTGGATTTTTTTTTATTCAGGGATTATTCTATATCAGCCTTATCAACGTCAGTAGTGTTGATTATTTGATTTTTTTTTTTGTATGGTTGCTTTCATATGAAATTCATTTTTACTTATTTTCTGTAGAAATTGGATAATATATGAAATATATTTTTTTTGAACTTGCATTTTTTAGGCAAAAAGAGTTGATTTGCAGTTAAAACAAAACATTGTCATTCATACAATGGAAAATGAGAAATGTGAAACCCATTTTTTTGTGTGTTTTTTCAGTATTCATTTTTTTTCATTTTCCCTTCTTCTATGCAGAAGGTCTGTAGTGTAGCTATACTATATTCATAGTACATATTAACATTATATCTTTATCTAACTGTCAGTTCCGATGTCATACTCTATTGCCAAATTCTTTGCTAAATACAATAGTACAGAGAACAAGTTGAAATCTTGTTATACAGTCATTTTGCATGACTGGCTAATAATCAAGGAGGCTTTATTTCTTTGTTTT